TACATTCCATTTAAACATATATCCATTTCAATCTATATATTTTAGCTTGCCCTCAGAAAGCACCGTTTTTGTAGAGTGTGCATGTGCATGAATGCGTAAGTATGACGTAAGATGGAACCCACGATGAATCAAACATAAAAATAAAGCAAAATGACAAGGAACAAAAAAATAATGAAGCAGTCATCAGCTAGTAGAAGTTATTACTCTACTACCAGCGTGTGATGTCATTAACGACCGGTATATATTGTTGAACCAATGACGGAGGTGCTACGGTGTTTGTTTCTACAACGATGCATTGTACTATGGTGGTTAAGCAGTGAGTTGCATCGTTGTACGGGAAACACCCTCCACTCAGAACAACCAAGCAACCGCGTTACAGCATTTAAAAAACACTTAAAACATGTAGCAACCACATAGCAACATCACCCTGGCAACAACCAACAGCATTCTACCATTGTAGCAGTGGGTTTTGCACAGTTTTCACATTTTCTTCAGAATCAGGTTAGTAACTACAATCAAATTTGAAGAAATTATATCAAGTAGCTCATAACTATGATGATGTTTTCATGTGTTAGGCATTCAACATGTATTTATCCACATCTAATGAAGATGAATACTTGAGGATACTTGAGTAAGTTTTATTTTTCTAGTTTAGCTAGATAAATGCCTCACTTTTTGGGAGTTTTTTAAACATTGTCATTCGAGAATGCTTAATTTGAACACATCCCAACATGATAACATGCCAATTCTAGGCAGTGAAGTTGGTGAAGCTTCCAGTAGTGTCAAGAGAATCCAATTCCTTTACATCAGGTTGCCGTGGCAACGGCAGCAGATTGACCTATGATTCACTTGGTGGCTAATTGAAGCAAAGTGTGTGAGAGGGTCAGCCTTGATGCACAACTGATTTGAAGAGCAATGCAGGAAACAGCACGTGTTCAGTGCACAGGCTGCAGGAGCTGTCCATTAACCTTGAAAGATTCTCAGCAGAGGGCATGTTACTGAGCACCATAGGGTCCACCATGCTTAAACCACATGTCATTTGATTTCACCTTGAGAAATATGTACTATAATTGCAATTTTTGTATTAATAGAATCTGATCAGGTTTTCTATGCTAAACTGTAGCTGCGAGAAGGTCATAAAAAGGCTATCTTGACATTAATAGTATTAATAATTATTAAGGTGTGATCACATTTATCGCCCTGATACTCATGGCAAAGTTCTTTTTAGTTCTTCATTTAGGGGTAAAAGAAGTTGGAAATATCTTTGCAATGGTATACTGTTGGTGGGAAAATAAAATAAATACACAAAATAAACACACAACTAAAAAGAATGACAGCCGTGAGAAAACAGAAGTTAAGAAAGCATCCGATCACAGTGATGTGGATACGTTTGCAATTCAACACTCCAGTCAAGTCACATCACATTTATTTTTTTAACATTTTATACAATAAACTGCTTTAAAGCAAGCAGCTATACAGTATTAAACATCTCTCTAGTGTGATCATGTTTTAACTCTTTGATGTATGATCTGGACAGAAGAAATGAACCTGAGAAAATGTCCATGTCAAAGAAGGTGGAGCCCCAGAGCCACACCTACCTAATACATCGTCACCACGAACCAATGGTAATTCAAAGGTGTTTACCAACTGAACAGTTTCGAACTCCCGAATCAAATTCCAATCGAACATGGTTTTGGTCTGATTTTGTTCAAAATGACATCACCAGTTTGCTCTTTGATTTTGCTTGAAGTACAGTATATCGGGGCCTTCACTATGGAGGACCACAAGTTAAAATTTTTTTAAAAAAAGTACAATTACTGTGAATTTTTGTGGGCAAAATCCAATCATTAAAGGTGCGGTAGCAAAATTCAGTAGGCAAAACAGGCCCATTGTCTTTTGTCAATAGTGCAGTGATGTATAAAGCACAGCTCACACAGACATAAGTCACTTTCAAACCAAGCAACTGTACCTGTTGTGAAATCTGCATGGGAAGTTTTTTGTCCTCGCACAAATCGCATGGATTCCTATTGAAATTACTTTATTTTGCCCATGAAAATTTGTCGAACAATGGTTATGGTACAAATGGTACCACAACACGAATTCACGTAATTGGGAATTTCACGTGAGAGTGAAGGATTTCCCCAGATTTCACAACAGGTTCACGTTGGTCATGCAAATTTATGTTGACTAACAAAAAGCTTCTTGATTTGAAACTGACTTCTGTGTGAGTGGAGCGTCATACATTGCCATACTGTTGACAATGGACCTTTTTCCTACAAAACTTTGATAAAATATAGCCAATGTGACCACACCTTTAATAGTGTTTTCCTCCTTTAATTGTTTTGGATATAAAAGAATTAATAAATATAAATATAATAAATGCCTGCCATCTTTTAATGTTGGCATGAGGAGCTATTAATAAAGCAGAATGAATGACTAATGACATAGCCAAAGTAGGTGATTCAAAATGAAACTTACTGGAGGGAATCGCCACACTTCAGTACTAACTTTGAGGATGTATCATACTTCCTCTGTTTGGCCCATTTGTAATCCTCTTTAGGATATGGTCTTTTTCTAGCTATGATAAGTGATACTTATCAGCCGCCTCCAAGAACCAACCTGAATGAGATTTGATCAAACTCATGACTGGTGACTCACAGATATGATGTCAATGAAAAGCTAAAAGCCCATACTCACTTCAGTGTAATCTCTACCTGCAATTTACACAGTGATGCACACATCTGATCCTCTGTAAACCATACCTACGTCATTTACATTATTACTACCAGACCAACAGATCATACAGATTACATTTAACTCAAAACTATAGCTCATTCTGAATCATGTGTTTTACTATTGTGAGGAATAGCCTGAAATAATTCAACCCAATTTCTGGTCCCTCTACAGAGACAAGCATCTCTACACCGTCACAATATGACGTAAATATGAAGTGCTCTGCAGGCAGAACTCAATAAAGAAGGATTATTGGATTGACCTGCATGGCTAGTTCTGATGGTTAACTTGAAGAAGGAACATACCCCACACAGATGTGTAATTGTAGAGTAATGTGAACTTATTAAAGATCAAATAAAAACATGAGATCAGTGTTCTTCCTTCTAGGCAAAATCAGAGGTTTTTTATCAACTGTGTCCAGGCTTCTGCTGAACAAACAGCAAGTACTGATTCCTCAGGGGAAGATTTTGCTTTGTTGAATTTATAAAACATAAATTATTACTTTAATATCAAAACATTATTGGGCTGACAAAATATTTAGTATTGGCTTAACATGTTCAGTTTCAGTATCATGTAAGTCTGCATTCATTTGATCAAAATTACAGTAAAAACAGTAATTTTGTAAAATAGTATTACAAATTAAAATAGCTTTTTTCTATTTGAATGTTAACATGTAATTTATTCCTGTGATGCAAAGCTCAGTTTTCAGCAGCCATTAATCCAGTCTTCAGTGTCACATGATCCTTCAGAAATCATTCTAATATGCTGATTTGGTGCTCAAGAAACATACATTTTTATTAGGCCTATTATCAATGTTGAAAACAGTTGTGCTGCTTAATATTTTGTGGAAACTGATACATTGTTTATAGTGTTCTTTCATGTAGAAAGCTAAAAAAAACAGTCTTTATTTGAAATAGAAATCTTTTGTAACATTATAAATGTTTTTACTGTCACTTTTGATCAATTTAATGCATCCTTGCTGAATAAAACGGCAATGTCCATATTTTGCTATAAATGGTTTCTCTGTGCATGACTCTTCAGGTTTTGTAAAAGCAACATTAGAAAGGTGGTATATAAATAAAACATTATTATTAAGCTGTACAGATGACACTTTTTCAACATTAAAACCCTTTCCAATTATCGGCCTATCAAATGTCTCATGAAACATGAAAATGAACGAAAAGCAATATATTTCTCAAACTGCTTCAATTCGAAAACGACTTAATATTAATGTTTTTCACCTACAGTAGTTTTATTTATTTATTTATTTGTGTAATGATGGTCATTCTGATAGTACTGATAATGCTGAATTAAAAGAAACACGCTGGTTTGGTGTCAATGAAGGGGCGCCTGGACAAAAATATTATAGAAATTGGAGCAATCCCATAGATACCAAAAGGGCACCACCTTGAACGGATCAGATCGTAATTCCCCTCAGCGAAACCAAGTCTGAACAGCGTGTTCCTCTGAGCTGCGTTAATAACCGGGTTTTACCGAAGACGCAGAACAGCTCGAGCTCAACTGATGAAACCTGGCCACATTTAATTCGATTTCATTATGACGCTTGGCAGCTTGAAAGTGTTTGATGATTTTCAGAGTTGTTTTGAGTCGTAGTGGCAGGCCGTTAGGAAAGGGCAGCGTTCTGCTCCGTGTTCACTGCGGAAGATGGCAGCCGGTGATCAGGATCACGACACAGACACTACCGATCGTACAACGCACGTGGACTCCGTGGAAGTGAGCAATAACGGTCAGCACTGACAAACAAGTCAACTCCTCTGAGGGGACTTTAGCTACTAATAAAAAACTGTTCTTCCAAAGTCAGCTTTAATGACATTTATATGACATGAATGTTTGACCTTTGGCAGTTTAGTGCAAATAAATCAGTGAAAGCGGACACATTAGCAAGGGGAAGTAGCCATTATCCGTAAATGTCGGAAGTAAACAGTAGCGAAATACCATTTACTGCAGGTGTTTACAAGTAAACGTTCAAAACAAGTTATTAAAAGACAATCAGGCAGCCTCGCTTTGAGATTGTGCAACAGGGCCACCTACTGGACAACTGCCATATGACATATTCAGTTTACTCGCACGGAACACACAAATGTATTGTCACAGCTGGCAGGTTCAAGTATACAAGTACAAGTATTAAAAAAAAAATCATTTCAATTTCACACGTGGCAGAAGAATACCTGAGTTTTTATATGACAATAAAAGTTGTTCAGTCTGACAAATAGTAAAAAAAATGTTCAAAGATATTTTTAAATCAGTGAAAGCGGACACATTAGCAAGGGGAAGTAGCCATTATCCGTAAATGTCGGAAGTAAACAGTAGCGAAATACCATTTACTGCAGGTGTTTACAAGTAAACGTTCAAAACAAGTTATTAAAAGACAATCAGGCAGCCTCGCTTTGAGATTGTGCAACAGGGCCACCTACTGGACAACTGCCATATGACATATTCAGTTTACTCGCACGGAACACACAAATGTATTGTCACAGCTGGCAGGTTCAAGTATACAAGTACAAGTATTAAAAAAAAAAAATCATTTCAATTTCACACGTGGCAGAAGAATACCTGAGTTTTTATATGACAATAAAAGTTGTTCAGTCTGACAAATAGTAAAAAAAATGTTCAAAGATATTTTTCAATGTTTAGAAAACATACAACCTCATAAAAATTTGACAAATTCTCTGGGACGCAAACACGGTGAAAATAGCCATCAAGTGTCTGTTTGGTGAGGAGTAAAGATCAAGTTAATGACTCCAGACACATGATCAGGGTCTCCCAAATATGAATGATATGCACAGTTAAAAATGCGTCTACAGTTAGCCTAGTCAAGCAGTCAGGTAGATTGAAAAGTCAAGCATCAGAGCTCTCCTCTGATCTCTCCTCATTCGCCACTTTCCAGTTTTTCCGCTTTTTCCTTTGAGGTTCGGGCAGCGTGTCCGTTTCAGGGCAGTCTCTCTTCCTGTGCGTTCTCGTCCTTGTGTCTGAATGGCTGTCCTCTGTGTCGCTGTCCTCGGTTCTGTCTTTGTTTTTGTGCTCCTTTTTCCTACGCTTGCTTTTACCTCCCTTCCTCCTCTGTTTCCTCCTGACGGTGTCCTCCTCATCGCTGCAGGTCTCAGAGCCCGAGGCAGCTGTCTTCCTTTTCTTCTCTTTTTTCTTTTTCTTCTTCTTAGAAGACTTCTTGGAAGACTTCTCTATGTCAGCGTCTAGTTTCTTCTTGTGTTTTTTCCTTCTGTGTTTACTATCACTGCAGTCTTTTTCTCTGCAATAAATTAATACAGTATTAAACAAGCAAAAATATGCAGCTAGAATATTTCAAATAATTTTATATATTTACATTATAAAATTTAATTATTAAAGAATTAAACTAATTACTTTATCATTACATTATTAATAAAATTATATTGCATAATTATTAAATTATTTAGATAACAGAAGTAAACGACTTTTAAGATTAAAAAGAAAAGAGGGGTCTTTTACCTTTGTATTTACAAGCTTTGCTACGATGGTTACATCGCAAAGCCATAAAAATAATTAGTATAGATCTACATATATTTGTAAAATACATTTTAATTTAACTTTTTACATTTTAAAATGGGGGGATGGGGGGGCAGTTAAACATTTAGTTTTTTATACAATTTAATATAATATAGTTTAAAATACATTTTTTCACAATGATTGTTGAACCCTCTGCTAAAGACCCCATATTGTATAAACCCCCCAGAACAATGTGCTTAAAGTGCTTTAGATGGTTTCTCTGGAATAACTTAATATATAAATGGTTAAACAAGTAAAATTCTGCTGCTAGAATATTTAGATTACTCTTTAAATTATTTATTTTAAGATCAAATGAAAAATAGACTGTAGAGAGGGATCTTTAACTTTTGTATTTATACACAAAATATTGTTAATGGTAGCTACACGATTGCATAGCTATTAAAATAACCATCACTGATGTACAGTTTTATATTTGTACAGATGTTCATTTTACATTTAATTAAATTAATTTTATTCTAAATGTATTTTGTTTCACAAAAACTTAGGTCAAGATCAACAATAATGTAAATGTAATAATCAAACAATAATATACCCCCTGTAGTACCACCATGGACCATGTTAAATACCTCTGCTCTTTAAAGACCCTGCAACAATATGCTGAATATTCATTAGTGGCAGGGCTGCTTCTTCTTACCCATCAGAATAAATTTCCTCTGGATAAAGCTCCTTAAATCCACTGTGGCCCCACCTGAGGGGACAGACCACGGCTTTGTGATCACAGGAAATACCTCAAGCATATAAAAAATAATTAACGCACAACAAGAACAAAACCAACCAGCAATACCTGTCAGGATCATTGGCTTCAAACTCATACAGTTTTCGCGTCCAGTATCGTGCCTCCCTCTCATCTCTCTCAGACGTCTCATCTCTTCTGTCTCCAAGCCGCTCTCGCATGGACCCCTCTGAGCCATCCAAATAACGGTCACAGTGCATGCCACCCCTAAGTGAGAATTACATATGGTCACTTAAGAGAAAAAGACATCAGGAGCAATAAACAAAGGTTGTGCCGTCTGTACCTGTGCTTTGGGAAATGAGCAGACAAGGTTTGTCGCTCATGATCCCTCATTTTCCACATCTCTGATTCCTCTTGAATCTGCAGGTTGGAAGTTGAATCATTACAAAGACTGATTTCAGCTGATATACAAATTCTCAAATAATGCAAATTTAAAAGTTAATATACCTTGTTATGGGCATCTGTGTGTCTGATGACATTTCGGAGCAGTACTTTACCCATAGACACCTTCGACATGATATCAAACCTTCAAAAAACATACCACAGCAGAGTTTAATGTTTCAAAAGCTCTATAATCTACACAAGACTGTTGTCTGAGAAACCAAGGGCTTCATATCTATTTTGGACAGAATCGCTTTTTTGGAAATCCAAAAGCCAAGCAAATGAGCTGGATATGCAAAAAATAAGTGATTACCAAAATAAACATTGGCTTTGGCATGTTATTGTCATATAAACAAAACAACAGCTCTATTGACTTTTTTTTATTAATTGCAAGAGAAAAAAAAGAACAAGAAGCAGCACTGTGTTGAAATACAATAACATGAAGTCAAAAAAACAATAATACCTCAGTCAGTAAGAAAAATATCATCATAAGCCTTAAGAATTCGGGAGTTGGTTGGATAGACATTATGCAGAATCTTAAAATGGACCTCTCTTATTTTATTGTAAATGCAATATTTTTGGGAGTAACCATGCTTTCTTCCAATGAATACTATCAAAAAAAAATTGGTCCAGAAAGATTTACATCTAGGGGATGTATATACTGAATAATGTAACGCTCCCTTTTTATATCAACTGTTACGTTTTTTTTTATCAAGACAAACTCCATCCAATGAAAGTTTGGGCATAATTATTTTTCTCTCATTAAAGCAGATGTATGTTTTAAATAAATGCACATAACTTGGAGACAAACTTTTGATGTCAGAATTGAAAGAACTAGCTGGCACAGGAAGATTAATCAAAGTCATAAATTCTTCATAATCCAGTATAGTACCATTATTTAAAAAAAAATAAAAATCCAAAACAATACCCCTGTCATTCCACTTGTCAATGAAAATGGAATTTCCAGGGATTAAAATATTCGAACTACTCCAAAGAATTACTTTGTTAGGATGACTTTGTGTGCACATAACAGTTTCCAAGCAAGTAACGCTTGTTGGTGAGAATTAGAGAGAGAGATCGGCGATTTAAAAGGGGTGAAATTGCATTTTAAAAGAAAGACCACCCAATCTACGAAATATAGCACCAAATTGAGTCATTACTACAGAGACATTTTTTTAAACCAACTAATTCTTTGAAATCTAAAACTTCCAGTCCAACATCACAACGCCTGTTAGACAAAACAGATTTCCTAATTTTATGGGACAAATTCATCCAAATAAAATTCAGTAAAAAAAAATCATATCATCAGCAATTTTGTCACTAACAAATAAAGATAAAGCGGGATGAACACAACGGTACGACCCCTCTACTTTAGATATAAGAACGATAGAGTTCTCGTGGAAGCCAATAACTAAAGACTATTCTAGTTTGTTATTTTAGTTGAAAAATTGAGTTGTTGGCGAGTCAGTCTATATTTAATAAGGAAAATCCCCAGGTACTTGACACGGTCTTTAACGGGAGACGTTATATGAAGTGTTGATGATTGTTTGGTATCATAAAGACAAAATAGTTCACAAACAGCTCTAACGTTACTGACATTAGTTCACTAATTGGTTTCCTCTTACGTTTTCCTACAAGCTAACACAACCGTTCAGTTAAATTAAAGGTTTATTTAAAGTACAGTCATAAAAAAAAATGGTCAAGATTAAGCAACATAGTGTTTTAACACAGAGTAAAGGATGAACTGACCTTTCTATCATTCAATAAATGTGTAATGTAATGAGCAACGTGAACGCGGCAGCAAAAACAAGTAGTTTGTGTTAACTTCCTGCGCAGCCTACGCACGAGCTATTTCAAAATAAAAGTAGCGAATAAGCGAAAACGTTAATTTCATAATAAAAGTCATAATTATTACAGTTTTTCTGAATTGCTAAAACACATTTCTTGAAACCATCACTCAGTTTCTCAAAACCTTAAACACAAATCCAAACCTTCAAACTAAATTCACAGAACCCCTGACTCAAAATCAAACAATCGCTTCAAAACCATTTCAACTGTAGGCTACTCAAAATCAAACAAAGCTTTCAAATCATACACACATTAGTCAATAATATACACATTACAGATCATTCATTAGACACTACAATCAAAAAATGGAGAACACAGTGTCCAGGGCATGTAGTTACAAAAAAAATGTTTATTGTAGCCTATTTAGTAAATATTTTGTTATTAAAAACTACAGTATATATATATATATATATGTGTGTGTGTGTAAAAAAGAATCAGAGGACTTCATCTACGTCGCAGGCAGGCAACGTGGAAAAAACCCCTCTGGTGTGGCGGATCCAGCCTTGAGAAGACAGCACGTTTATATCACCACAGGCTAGTTTTTCCACCCTAACGTGTCAGTCTTGCAATTCTACACAAGATTCTCTTCCACTTTTCTTTTGCTGTTCTTTTGAACATTCCAACTGATTATGGTGGCCACAGAGAATCTGCTCAATTTAGGTTGAACTGTTTGTCCTGACTCTGTCATTCCACGCACAAGAACGTTGTCTATCACAGTAACTCTGATTTCATCTGAAATGACTGTTCTTGGTCTTGCTCTTCCTCGTCCTCCTCTTCCTCCACCTCGTATACACACTCTTCCGTACCTCTCAGATTGATGGATGCACCCATGCCATTTGTGCAGTTTGAATATTTTGTACATTCACAAATTTAGAAAAAAGTGTGAACAGTTTTGAATTATTGTGTGTAAACAATGACAACCGTGTTGCAGTTGTGCCTAGCTTTTGCTTTCTTGTGTTTACTGTTTAGGGTTTTGCATCACAAATTGCATTTTAGTGAGTGAGAATGTAAAAAAGAGCGAGTTTTGCAAAAAGAGTGTCTAAACTGCCTGAACTTGTTTAAGGTTTTGCAGAAAGAGTGATTTATTTGACAAAATGGTTTAGGCTATTGAGAATTTGGTTCAGAGAATGGGATTTAGTGTCTTAGCAAATGTGAAAAACTGTAATCAAGTCCTTCTAAATATTAACAGTGCTATTTGAAAATCATCTGAAATACACCTGAAAAGAATTACTTTTTTTAAGTAAAAAAAAAAAAAAACTATTAGAATATGCATATCTTGAGACTGTTTTGAAAAGACATTTATTTTCATCTATGATAAACAATACATAATTGTATTTTCATCAAAAACACATACATTATAGACATTCTCTATTTAATTTGATTTGTTGGTTATCCTACATATCATGGAGTCTGTTGTGTCACAATGGCATCAACCATATGATGATGCAATATATCACTCCACATCCTCATACATCAGAAATTGGACTTTCGAAGGCCATGAAAGACAGAGAGAGCTAGAGAGAGAGAGAAAGATACAAATTGAAACTGAAAGGGGTTAGGATTTTAATTACACTGGAATTCCCCAAACAATGTAAGAAATGTTGTTTTCTGATACTTAGTCTTTACATGCTACTTCCTTGTGAATAAAGAGAGAGACAATTTAACTTCTTATACTTTGCACTAATACAAACACATGATTTAATAAAAGGAATCTTACTAAACTATACTATTTGTAATATCTATGAAGTTGATCATAAGTATCATGATTTTATATGATCATTTTTAATATATATTTAGTTTAAAATACAAATAAAATAATGTTAAAAAATAATAAGGTAGTCTTGCAATTCTACACAAGATTCTCTTCCACTTTTCTTTTGCTGTTCTTTTGAACATTCCAACTGATTATGGTGGCCACAGAGAATCTGCTCAATTTAGGTTGAACTGTTTGTCCTGACTCTGTCATTCCACGCACAAGAACGTTGTCTATCACAGTAACTCTGATTTCATCTGAAATGACTGTTCTTGGTCTTGCTCTTCCTCGTCCTCCTCTTCCTCCACCTCGTATACACACTCTTCCGTACCTCTCAGGTTGATGGATGCACCCATGCCATCTGTGCACTTTGAACTGGCTTATATTTTGTACATTCACATATTTAGAAACAAGTGTGAACAGTTTTCAATTATTTTGTGTGTACAATGACAACCGTGTTGCAGTTGTGCCTAGCTTTTGCTTTCTTGTGTTTACTGTTTAGGGTTTTGCATCACAAATTGCATTTTAGTGAGTGAGAATGTAAAAAAGAGCGAGTTTTGCAAAAAGAGTGTCTAAACTGCCTGAACTTGTTTAAGGTTTTGCAGAAAGAGTGATTTATTTGACAAAATGGTTTAGGCTATTGAGAATTTGGTTCAGAGAATGGGATTTAGTGTCTTAGCAAATGTGAAAAACTGTAATCAAGTCCTTCTAAATATTAACAGTGCTATTTGAAAATCATCTGAAATACACCTGAAAAGAATTACTTTTTTTAAGTAAAAAAAAAAAAAAACTATTAGAATATGCATATCTTGAGACTGTTTTGAAAAGACATTTATTTTCATCTATGATAAACAATACATAATTGTATTTTCATCAAAAACACATACATTATAGACATTCTCTATTTAATTAGATTTGTTGGTTATCCTACATATCATGGAGTCTGTTGTGTCACAATGGCATCAACCATATGATGATGCAATATATCACTCCACATCCTCATACATCAGAAATTGGACTTTCGAAGGCCATGAAAGACAGAGAGAGCTAGAGAGAGAGAGAAAGATACAAATTGAAACTGAAAGGGGTTAGGATTTTAATTACACTGGAATTCCCCAAACAATGTAAGAAATGTTGTTTTCTGATACTTAGTCTTTACATGCTACTTCCTTGTGAATAAAGAGAGAGACAATTTAACTTCTTATACTTTGCACTAATACAAACACATGATTTAATAAAAGGAATCTTACTAAACTATACTATTTGTAATATCTATGAAGTTGATCATAAGTATCATGATTTTATATGATCATTTTTAATATATATTTAGTTTAAAATACAAATAAAATAATGTTAAAAAATAATAAGGTATTAGACTATAAACATTTATTAAAGGGGTCATATGATGCGAGTCGTGGCCCTGAGGTTGTGGGTTCGAGTCTCAGGTCTGGCAGGGATTGTCGGTGGAGGGAGTGAATAACCAGTGCTCTTTTCCACCCTCAACACGACTGAGTTGAGACCTTTGAGCAAGGCACCGAACCCCCAACTGCTCCCCGGGCGCCGCAACAATATTCCTGCCCACTGCTCCGAGTGTGTGTGCACTTGGATGGGCTAAATGCAGAGCACAAATTCCGACTATGAGACACCATACTCTGTCACTTCACTTTCACTTTCAAACAAATCATGAAATATAGGAGAAACACATTTGCAGTTTAAAAATGGTTTTGTAATGGCAACACATTAAATGAAGAAGAAAAGTCCCAGTTCTGTGAGACTTTGGTTGGTCTAGTTCTTGGTCTGGTGACGGGATCCTGATGACGCTCATGTGGTGTATTGTCTTGTCTCTGTTTGAATGTGCAGTGGTTCTCACGCTGTTTCTTGTGTAGCTGCAACTGCAAAAAGTATCTATTATTTTAATGAACTTGTTTTCACAATGATGCAAGAAACAGCAGACAATAAGACAATATTAATAAAAATGGAATTAATTAAAATAATTATTATGATGAAAAAGATTATTTGATGAAGTATTTGCAAAAATCAAAATCAAAAAGATAAGCTGTAAACATTTCTACAGCCAAGGAGAACTATATATCAGCCAATAAAAACGTATTTATGGACAACCAATAAATACCTGCATTATCAACACATCAAGAGCTTATAAAAATACTTAGCATTTGTTCAAGACAAAGACAGACTAACAGAATGTTTATATGCACTGTATGGTGCAGATGTGGTTATGTCTGCTGCAGGATATGTGGTTGTCACACTTATGATTACGCACTTTTGGGTAAGTGTCTGCTAGACAATACTTCTTTCATGAGAAAAATGTATATGACCACAAATGCACATTCAGTGGCAGGGTGTTTATTGAGTGCTCAATGAAATAATATATGATGACTGACAGCAAGCAGAGATTATGCACTTGACACAGCCAAAGTCGTTTCTAGACATTGGCCAACTACAGGTGGTATATGGCATCAGCAGAATAAACAAAAAATGTTTGATGTGAGGAGACTGTATTGCATTTTGAAACAGATAAACACATATACAGAGACATACCAATTATCAGTCTTGCTGACGAAAACTTGTAACTTGTAACTGTAAACACATTTACAATCAAGAGCTTATAAAAATACTTAGCATTTGTTCAAGACAAAGACAGACTAACAGAATGTTTATATGCACTGTATGGTGCAGATGTGGTTATGTCTGCTGCAGGATATGTGGTTGTCACACTTATGATTACGCACTTTTGGGTAAGTGTCTGCTAGACAATACTTCTTTCATGAGAAAAATGTATATGACCACAAATGCACATTCAGTGGCAGGGTGTTTATTGAGTGCTCAATGAAATAATATATGATGACTGACAGCAAGCAGAGATTATGCACTTGACACAGCCAAAGTCGTTTCTAGACATTGGCCAACTACAGGTGGTATATGGCATCAGCAGAATAAACAAAAAATTTTGATGTGAGGAGACTGTATTGCATTTTGAAACAGATAAACACATATACAGAGACATACCAATTATCAGTCTTGCTGACGAAAACTTGTAACTTGTAAGTGTAAACACATTTACACACATGTGAAGAAAACACATTTCAAAGTAAGAAAGAAAGGTTACACTTTATTTTAAGGTGTCCTTGTTACAGTGTAATTATATATTTACGTGCTGAGTAATATTAATTAACTACATGTACTTACTATTATAATAACAATTA